TGAAGTCATTATCCATTTTTTAATAACTCCAAAAGTAATTCTTATACCTATGTAATTGTCAGTCTGACTCCAGAGAATTCGATTAGACCACATAGAATATGGCTACACTTTTTTCGACACAAAAGCCCAAGAGAACAGCAAAGCAGCTAATGGATTACAAGGTGTTACATTCTGCAAATTTTACACTTTCAAGTACTATGATTTCCATCACCTCACAACTATCCTGACAGTTGTGCCAAATTTAATTCCTTTGCACAAACAAAGAAAACCAAGGGCCAGGGAAAGAGCTTAACTTGCCCAAACCGGTGCGGCAGACTGTGTTCTAGAAACCAACTCCCTTGTTCCCACAGGCAAAAGTAATTCTTATCCCTTAAGCGTTGTAGGACATGCATACCTTTCTCTCCAAATTTCATCAGTTTACATTGTTGCTGGTCTCTTACTGCAGCCATATATTTGTACTCAAAGACTATGTTTGATCAACTTCAATCTTCTATACCTAAATGTTTTCAGTTCTTATTGTTCTTATCAGGAAGAAAAACGCATGCTGATAATGCTAGTGTGTGCAGCAATAAGCATCTATGGGCGGGGGCGGGGGCGGGGGCGGGCAGCTTAGGGAGTCACTGCAAAAAGTGCAATGACGATGGTTCAAAGTAGCACGCCACCCCCTTCCACCCCCTTCCCTCACCAGGGGAAAAGGGATGTGAGAAAGCAAATCGACAGCATAAGATGACCTCACTACCCTCCCACCCATCCACCTGCTCAACAGACCTCAGGGCAAGGGTCCTCCCTGGAAGTGGTGGAAAGGGAAGGGCAACCTGCAGTGGGGAACAAATCTGACCTTCCTTGTCACTTTTACACTTGCAGTGCATGCATTCCAGTGACAGGCTGTCTCTTCCCTCTGGTTTAGCAAAACCTAAATGTTCTAACCAAGGGATTTCAAATCTATGGTGAAAAGAAAAACCGAAGAGTACACTTTTGGGCCACATCAATTTTTTAACTCCATGCCTAAAACTAGAAGAATATAGCACAGATGTCAAAAGGGTTTGACATCTAAAGAGAAACATCAAATGCATCTTACTTCAGTTACTTTTGAGAAATTTCTGTTCATTTTAAACATCCTGAAACTTGCTTTTACCAGATGCAAAAATTTTTTTACTGCTAGTGCCAGCCCTCTCCCCAACCTTTCCAGTTTTAAGGAAGCATAATATAATATGGAAGGCAGAGACCCAAATCTGGGTTAAAATCCTAGATTGGTTATTTAGTAACTATATGGCTTTGGGCAATTTAGGTAATCATTATTTACACATCTATAGAGCCACTAATGGCTCGGCTTCCTGGGAAGGTTAAGTGAGAACACGTAATCATAAGGTATCCTCACAGTAGGTACTCCAAAAGCATCCCATTCCTTCTGGGGGTAAAAATGACTACATCCAGTCTTAGCACCAAAAAAAAAAACAGAAAAAGGAAAAACTGAAAAGGAAATTGACTCATATTAATCAGATATCAACGATAATATTGCCTCAGATCATTACTTCCTAATCTCTTTTTATGCACAGTATTTGCAGTGCTGCCTGGTATCTAATAATGCACAGAAAGACAGCAAGTAAGGCAGAGAACTTAAAAATATCCTTTCCTTTGATGTTAAAAGAAAGAATCCTAAGGACAGCTCCTCAACAGAGGCAGTGGAGAACTTAAGATTTTATGTTGTTAGCAGTGACTCCAAGGCAAAAATGAGTCAACAATATTATGGAGTACCTAATGTTAAAAGAAGTATTCTTGGATAAAGACCATCAGCTGGTCACGATACTCTTTAAGAAGAACCTTCACAGAATCATCTTTGAAAATAATGGATAAGGGAGGATTTCTGTGTGATTCTGAAAACCAATGTTAATTAAGTAAATGGAAAGCTGCATGGATATTTAATCATTAATGAATGGAACTCAAAAAATACAGGCTAATGCTACCTACAAATACACATATCCCAAAAGACCTAAGATGACTGAACTTAAAATTTATAGCACACTTCCACCAAAGACTAACAGAAACACCACGTTTATGTGGGATTGCATCAGTACAGACACATACAAAGGTGTATAACCTGATAGCTTTACCTGAAAGATGAGTCCAAAGATGCAAACGGTTAAATGCATACATTGAGCCAGGAATCTTTTCATTTAAATACATGTTTTACAACTATGAGAACAATGCTGAACGCAAACCCAGGAAGGTAAAGGCTCTCCTTAAGAAGATCAAACTCCTAAGATGTAGATTCAGTTTTTACTAGTAATTATTCACAGGAAGTTTTAAATTTAGCCCTCCACTGATTTAATTCAATAATCTTTTGCCCTCTCCGTTCTTCTTTCCATTCATATCCACTAATTTTTTCTACATTTATACAACTTAACCCATATGAACTGAAGGGGAGAGGGGAGATAATATAACTGAGCAGGTCTGTGCTTAAGGAGTTTCCAACAGAAAACACAGTGGACCTCTGTCATTTTAATTTTTATTTACTCCTCCTCAAGGCTTCAAATATTCTAGCACTGGAGGTTGGGAAGAACTGTTTTCCTAGCCTGAAAAAGTTCATTATTTATCCATGTAAGTCCTATTTACAATGAGGTGCTTGAACATTTTTCTGTACAGTATTACTAGATAGTTTATAAGGAAATACAACCAATAGGAATAATCCCAATGCAATATTCCCACTGTCTAAAGGTAAGGAATTCCTCCACATATATACTCAAAAATCTGCCATCTAAAACATCTTTTTCAAGCTTAATCTTCAGAATTAAATAGCTTTAACTGATTTCTCAAACAATTCATGAGGAGCAAAGTAAAGCAAAACTGAAAACCCTGGGTATACAACCTCAGAAAAAGCTCTCTACAAGAGAAATCATCAACATGTGGTACTAGATAATTTGAGGGCTTTCCTTTGACTCCAAAGATTTCCCAAGAGCAAGTGGAGCTCAGTTGGAAAACTAAATAAACAACAATGGTCCAAGTGCATCCTGGACAGGAAGGTCTCCAAGCTAAGACATTCCCAAAAGCTTTGCTATTCAAAACAGATCAGCCTGATATTTCTCTTTTGTATTTTGTTTGCTGGGCAGGCTCAAAATACTGTAAACAACTTTAAACTGCACCCAGTATCTGTGTGAAGGACACTAAACGGTACAACAACCAACCAACCACCGCCCCACAGAGCCTGCGATGTACAACCATAAAAGTTTACAGACTAACTTTGTGACTGGTAGACTTAACAAGAACGCAACTCCACCATGTTAACGAAGGGACATTATTGTTCTAAAGATTAATTCATACCATGTGTTATTAATCATCAGAGTAACTGAAAGCTCATGCAAAAGCTGTTATCCCAGTTGAGTAGGACTTAATTGCATTGTTATTATTATGGCTGCTACACTAGCGCCCCCGTGTCACTGTCCCCCACCACTGCGAGTACTCAAGACAAACAGTACCACAGTGTGGAGCCAGAAAGCAAAAGCCATGTGCCTTGTGGAACAGTTGTTTGTGTTTTAAGAAAAACGTTTGTCTCTGGAAAGGAGGATCAAGTACGCACCCAGCCTGCCTTGAGAAGCAATGACGCCTAGGCTGTTTCATTTCAGTGTCCCATTTTGCACAACGTGGGACCAGCTGTGCGAGATCACAGAAACTGCAAAGCAAGACAGGCAACGTCATCTAGCTCCCTCACCAAAACACGAGTTTCCAGGTGGCGTCTGCTCTCCAAGAGAACACAAAGCTAACCTGCCATCCAGAACACTATTCCCCGTACCAAACCAGCCCCACCTCAAGGCCTGAAGAAAGGCAACTGAAGCATCCCAGTCGGTGTTCAAATCTCACAAAACCGACTTTTGATCTACGACTCCTGTCCTTTCCCAAAGTTCTTCATCACGTGCTAAAAACACCCACAGGTAGGCACAAACATTGGCTGCCACAATTTCCTCTTGCTGCCTAGTCATGGGATTTAGGGGTAACCGGCTAGGAAAGGGGAATTGTACAAACGTGAGGACGGAGAAGGCGTCTAGTCTGGCCCACTTCCCTCCCAACATCCCTTAACGAGGCTGAGATACTAAAACTGAAGTCTGGGGACCGACTGCAGTTCAGACTCTGGCTAGACCAAAGGGAAAGCCGCCACACCCTCTTGAGCTCATAGCACAGTAAGCTCTGGCAGGGAGGGACCCAGAAACTGCGTCCCAGCAGGAAAGAGAGAAAGAAGGGAGTCTGACAAGCTACAAGGCCCCGAGGAACGGAATTCAAGAGAGAGCGAGGGCCTACCCTGAGGTTACAGAGGGCGGGGATCGCCCGCATCGTCAGGAAAGCTCGAAACACGTCCCCGTGGCTAAAGATCTAAGACCAAAGAGGACATACTGGGGTTCTCCCCGGCCTGACTTTGCGATGCCCCCTCCACGCTTGCGTGGGGACCCGGGCGCCGCACAGCTGCGGGTCTCTTCGGCCCTTTACCAAGAGCTCCGACTCTGCCAAGCCGCGACGTCTGCCCTCAAGTTCGCCTCCGTTCCGCGCCCGGCGGCCACCTGCGCCCATCTGCTGGGACCCCGCAGGCCTAGAGCTAGGCGCCCGCGGGATGGTCCGCGGGGGCTCAAGGTGTGCGGATGGTTTTCTGTTTTGTTTTAAACAAAAAGCCTCAGCGACTCGCCCCCTCCTCCCCGGCTCGGCTCGAGTCCCCTTCCCTCCACACCCACGCCGCGCCTCCCGGGCACACTCGCCGCGAGCGCCTCTCCCGCCAGACAATGGGCCCGGGGCTGGCCGGGGAGCCCGCCCCAGGGCCCCGTCCCCATCCCGGGACCCCAAGGGAGCTCAAGGCGAGGGTCTCGCTATGGCCAGACGGAGGGCGAAGAGGCAGACCGCACGGGTCCGGGTCAGCCTCCCCGCGGGACCCGGGCTCGCTCCCCGCACAGGGCGAAGGAGAGGGGGCGCGAGCCGGCTGCACGCCCGCCCGGGGCCCAGGGCTCCCGCGCCCGACTCACCAGCACCGTGGCAAAGCGCTCCTCCAGTTCGCCTGGCTCCGGCATCGGCAGCTTCAGGGGCACGCTGTGCGCCCTGAAATCGGTCTGCTGCGAATCCACGCTCCCCGCGTTGCCCATGTTGGCTGCGCGCTGGACCCAGGGGCGGCTGCGGGCCCCTCCGTCCGCGTCGGAAATCACAGCAGCCCCCGGCGCTCGGCTCCCGCCCTCCGCCGCGCCCCGGCGAGTGTGCAGCGCGAGCCGCTCTCTAGCCCTGGCGCCCGGAGCCGAGCTGCCCCCCGGCCTCCCTCATGCTCTCCGCCGCCCCAGCGCGGCCCCGGCCTCTCCTCCTCCAGAGGGGTCTGCAGGGCGCCGGGCGCCTCTCTGCATGTTGCTCCGCGCACACCGCCCCCGTCAGCGGGCGCGTCCAGGCGGCGCGCGTGGTCCTCCAATCGGCCTCCCTCCGGGACAGCGGCCGCCGCTGACACTTGCAGCCCAGGGCCGGACTCCGTCGCGCAAGCTCGGCGAGCACCTCGAGGAGACAAATGCGGCTCGGCGCTCGCGGACACAATGCCCCTCTCGCCGGTCCCCGCCCCCGACCCGCCGGCCCCGCCCACTCGCCCCGCGGGCTGCTGGGATGCGTAGTTTCGGCCCGCAGTGTCCGCGCGCAGACCCCGCCGGCTCCGCAGGGTCGCGCCGCCTTGGGGCTGGGGGTGCAGAGATACCCGGCATCTCGCAGGTGGGTTTGATCGGTTGGGATCCGCCTCCTCCAACCAGGAAAGAAGCTACCACGTCTACATCCCATCTGACAACTGAATGAACCGATCCAATGAATCAATGAGCAGATATATGCTTTCTGATTCAAATTTCAGAAGATTTTCACTGTTTGAAAGGATGCAAGGGACCTCTAAGGTATCAGCAACGTCCTACTCCATAAGCTGGGAGCGGGTCCCTGGGAGCTTGTTACCATTCCTCTGCGCATGTTGTGTTCTCCGATATGATTGAGCTGTTTCATAAATACATAATTTTCGATAGTCAGACCCTAAGAGTCTAGTGAGAAGAATTCAATTCAAAACAAACACTTGTCAAACAGCGTGTGTGTGTGTGTGTGTGTGTGTGTGTGTGTGTG